ACCCCAGTTCTTTTTCCTGCCATGGCAGGGGGTTGGATTTGATGATCTGCTCAGGTCCCTTCCGACCCTACTAACTATGAAACCTGAGGTGATGGGCCTGATATTTTTAAGAGCGGTGAACAACTGGGAATGCCATAGCTACCCCTTCCAGATCTCCTTCATGCCCAGTAAAGCTCAGATTTTTGGAGGGCAGAGGACGTGAGAGAGAGCCTAGCGTTGTGAAAAGGAAATGTCATTTGCTCAGTGCGCTGTGCCCAGACCTCTTTGGGAAATGCTCCCATAGTTTTTAATTTGGGCAGGCTTTTACCAGGTGTGGTCAAGGGCTGGGGGGAGCGGCTATTTGGGGATGTCTTATTTAGGGCTGCCATATTTCCAGTTCCAAAAAAGAGGACACCTGTTGCATGGGGGGGGGGGTTATGATTGTGGGGGGCAGTGATATAGCAACAGCAGTGCCCTGCCTGTTCTGTTGCCCCTCACTCCCGACCCACAGCCTTCTCCTCCCCGCAGCCCTGCAGTGCCTCGTGGCTGCCCAGCCCCTGCAAGCAAAGGCACCAGCCCTGCCACACAGCTCCCTGCTGCCCCTGAAGGGCTCCCAAACCCCTGCTGGAGGGGCAGGCACATCCCCCTGCCCTGCTGCAGCCCCCACTGCCAACAGGCACCCAGCTCCTCACACACCCAACCCCTCCACAGCCACCCACACCCCTGCATAATCCCCAAGCCCTGGCCCTCCAACCCCCCACTAGCAATAGACTTACCTGCATCCATCTGCAGAGCTGCTCCCCCCCCCCACACACACACACACTTGGCTGCCTGCTGGCCGCATGCATGTATATGCACACTTGGCACCCCCTGCCTCCAACTGCTCTCCCTCCATTTCCCCCAGCCCCAAGCAGCTCCTTGCTGGAGCAAGCTGGGAAAAAGTTTGAAAAATCCATCCACACAAAGATTGGAGGATCCAAAAGAGGATGTGTCCAGGAAAACCGGGATGTATAGTAACATCCTACCTTATTACTTGCTATTTTTTTTAGCCTATGCTATTTTATCTGTTGCTTTATATTTATATTGCAGGGGGGGTAGGAGGCTGCAAGCCACCCCCAGCCTCTCTTAAGGGGGCACAGCACAGAAATCAAACAAACAGGGGAATCAACTTGGGCTGACCTGCAGGACTGCGGTAGCTGGAGACCCCAGCTTCGTGCCCTGAGAGGCCCTGTGGGACCAGCAACTGCAGCCCCCCAGGCTGGGAAAGGCTGCCTGGGGCAGGGTGGCGCTCAGCTTGGCTTATGCTTTTGGTGTCTCTGTGGGCTGCCCCAGGCAAAGGAGGCTGCGGCCTGCATGCCTGCCCCAAGGCCGGCTGTCTGGCAGCTTTCCCTTGCGCATGATTTCTTTATAGGGCTGCACACTGCACTTGCCTGTACGGCACAGGAGCAGCCACAGGCAGCAGGAGAAGAGAGCGGATTTTCCCTGTGCCCCTGGGGCCTGCTGGGAGAAGCAATGCCAGAGTTAAACGGGAGGAGTACTTGCATTTTGATAGAAGAACAAAGCCTGCGTCATGGTGAATGTGAAAGCAGCCACTTCCTTTCCACGGGCTGCCCCTATTGGCAGGCAGTGTTGTCATTCACTGCCAGCAGCCTGCCTGGGATACTGCAAAGGCTAGATGGGGGGAGAGGGGAAATGGATTGAGGCAAAGGAGCTGAATGATCAAATGTACGAATACAAAAGGGGGAGCAAGGCCTCAGCCTGCAGTGCTGCGGGGAGAGACTGGGTGTTCAAGTGAGCTGCCGGCAGGGTGGGGAGGCAACACTGATACTGTTGTGTGCTTCAGGAAGAGTGCTGCATGTAGCATTGGGTGCTATGCTTCAGGAAAGACTCAGAGACATGGGAAAGAATCCAAAAGAGAACAACACAAAGGATTAGCTGTCTAGAAAACCCGGCCTGGGAGGAAAGTTCAAAAGAGACGGGACTTGTTTTAATCTAGAGCAAAACAACGGACATAAAGGGGCTTAGAGACAGTGTGAACATTTTTCTGTACCTAAAGGGGCAGGACAGTAAGTGTGGCCCTTAATTTGTCTTTGGGGTGAGATCCTCTTTCACAACACCAAAGAAATTGCTGGTAGAGGGACTTGAACAGGAAAGGGGATTTGGACTAGGACTCCAGGACACTGCAGTAAACTGCTCCGCAGCAATATGCATACTCATTACTAATATGTTACCTTTTAACTTGTTCGGGTAGTTAATCTTTAAGGTTGCTGCTTGTCCCCTTGGTCAGCTGCTTGTTACCTGAACACATACAAAAAAACTAGAACTCTTGCTTCCAAAACTATACCTTTTATTAGACCAACTGGGAAATCGCAAGAAAATGTCCTTTCCTGCAAGCTTCCGGGATCAAAGTACTCTGGGATAAAGTCCCTTCATGAGACTGGGAAATATATAGATGGTACAAGATGGTCAAAAGTCCCCATAGGTAGGAAATAAACTTCGCTTGTGCAGATGAAAGGCTGTCTCTCTGGGGTCATGCGAGTGTCTTTGTGAGCTGTGCTGAGCATCTCTTGGATGTGTAGATCTGGTAGAAGTCCTTCCCTGGAGGTGTCAGATGGCAGGCAGGGAGGTGAAAAATCTTTCTTGTTGTTCAGCAATGACATTTAAAATCCAAAATCAGCTAAAATTCAGCTTCTTCCAAATTTCAGGGGTGTACTCGGACCAACACGGCTATCCTAAGTGCTATCTGGTGGACAGTAGTGCTAATATACCTTTTGGTATTCAGCAGGCAGCCTTCAGGCTCAGCAGGACATGTCACTTCAATTTTAACGGCATACCTGGCTATGCTTGCCACACCCTTCTTTTTAAGTTAAGGTAATAAACCTAACGTGTAAGCCTGATTTTTGATGATTTCCCTTTGACTACTGGCTTACTCACCTTTACTAACTCCTGCTCTCGCTTCACTCAGGCACATACAAGGTGATCTTTTTTTTTGTAAGGTCTCTTCTGCCTGACAACAAAGTTAAGAACTTCAGCTCAGCCTTGGTTCCTACAACGTTTGTTATTTTTGCATCGCTGTGGTTCATGCAACTTAATGATAAGCTCAGCTCTTG